GTATAAGTAACGTGAATTGCTAGCTACAGTGTCAACTCTCTACAATGTACAAATAATACATAGGTGTAAAATCAATAAAATATTAGTAAGTTCGTTAGTGTAGTTGAAAGGTGTTGAACGGCTCCTGCTAGGGAAGAGAATGAAGACATGAAACAGAAACTTACACACCTTAAAAACTGTTATATTAAATGTCTTTAATTTGCCTCCAAACCTCTCTTCAAAATAATAAAAAAAACAAACTCTACACACGATTACACGATAAATTACAGTCATAGAATAGGTAGTGACGAGCGTTTTCTTGGAGGGATGGCGACTGTTTCTACTATTTTGATTACACTCTGCCGGTAATAACGTTCTTAATATCGAAGTTAAACAAAAAAATTAAGTTACGGTGTCCGTGGAGCTAAAAGGTTGCATGTGGCCATGGAAAAGTCATGTAAGTCAGGACTGAAGGAAACGTACTTCATCGAAGTTTTGAGAACTCCATGATAGAACTACTGAAATACAGGCTAAATCGGTTTTTATCGCAGCACTGGCTATAAGGTAATGAGATCAACACGTAGAATTGATAATCCTCACCAAGTAAGCAAGGCTCATAGGTTTGGTTATCTGCGGTAAAAATACGCGGTGGAGCGGCTTAGTAAGATATAAACTATTTGTCAAAAACATTATCGAAAAGTTATGTCTACGAAGACTGACACAGCTAGAGAAAATTCTTCCACCAAAATGTTATAGGATTACACATAAACTTTAAACGGAGTGAAATCTACTAGTAAATGAATCATGCAGACCCTTTGAAAAGACTGGAAGTCAAATAAAGAAAACGTTAAAAACCAAAAAAACCATTAACTAATTACTCTAAACAAGACCCATCCATGCATGCACATGCAGGCAAAATGGGACAAAGAACCCGAAGGTATACACCTATAAAGACCAAATGAAGTGATGGTGTTCTCTGAAAAGAAGGAATAAACAGAACAACGTGAGCGTTTAGCCTGTAGTATGTGGGTTTTGTGAGCAAACAAGTACAAATTGAACCAGCTTTACTTAAAAGAACTGATTGCAGTTAAGCAGGCAGTGGTTGTTAAATGGCTCCTCGAATGGTGTTGTCGAAAAAGCAAGGATACAACATGCGAGAACAGTTTGGTTAGTTAATATTGCTCTTTTACATTTATAGTATATTCGTAAAAATCACTTCAGGTTATTCAACATTTTTCAGCCAGTCCAAGAATTTTCATTCTTCAGCTGAACGAACTCGCGATTGGACAAAAAGTCAGACATACTTCAATCTTTGCTTCTTAATGTAAATCAAATGGTTAAACCTATGCTGTAAACAAAGACCACAAACGGAGTGGTTATCTTTCTCATCCATCCCTGATAAAGCACCAGACCGCGGATTTGGCACTTTTTGATTGAAATGCGTAAAAACGTCTTCGGACTCCTTTTTCAGCTGCTAAGGCAGATATACGACGATCTGCTTTATTTCTGCATCATGTGATTCACTGTCACACTTGCCAGCTAAGGCGACACGGGCAGTATAACACATATTTGGCCCAGTTATTTAAAAAATCGACCATCTTGGTAGGGTTCGAATCTACGATTGCAAGGGTAAGGTTTAAGTATGTTCAGCGCTTTTACCAAGTGTGCTGGCATATCCAACTAGGTGTCATAGGTGTCTAGCCGCATTGGGCTCAACGT